TCTGATTGATGGATGCATCTAGGTGATGAGTGTCGGAGTGAGATAGAGCGAGTCAGAGCATGTGTGAGTCTGAGTGATGAGTGGGTCTGAGCGGTGAGCGAGTCTAGGTGTGAGTAATGGATGCGCCTAGACGATGAGTGAGTCTGAGCGGTGAGTGAGTCTGAGTGGGTGAGTCTGAGTATGAGTAAGTCTGAGTGTGAGAGGCTCTGAATGATGTGTGGGTGTAAGGGAGGTGGGTGGATGGCTGTTCCTCCGGCGCGGTGAAAGTGATAACAGGAACCACATCTTAGGATATGGAGATTAAAAATAATGATCGGAGCATGGTCATCATCAGCGGCAACATCATTATCATCCTCAGAATCCTCAGCAACATCATCAGCATCATCAGCATCACCACCACCATCACCATCAACAGCATTACCATCACAATCATCAACAACACGATCAACCTCATCATCACAACCACCATATGCATCATCATCGTCATCATCATCATCATCATCACCATCATTGTCACCACTATCCTATCATCATCATCGTCAACATCGTCCTCATCATCAGCAGCATCATCATCACACGCCGCATATGCATCGTCATAGTCATCCACATCATCATTATCGACGTCAACATGAGCATCACCATCATCATCACCATCAGCATCAGCATCATCATCATCATCACGATCCTCATCATCATCATCATCATCATCATCGTTGTCATGGGCATTATTATCATCAGCATCTTCACACAAGCATCATCAGCAGCAGCATCATCAGCTTCATGAGCAGCATCATCATCACCTTGAACAACAACATCACCATCATCATCATCATCATCATCATCATCATCATTATCATCATCATCATCATCATCATCATCATCATCATCATCATCATCATCATCATCAGCATCACCATCAGCATCAGCATCAGCATCATCACCGCCATCCCATCATCAGCATCATCATAATCAGAATCAGCATCATCATCACAACAATCACCTCTAGCATCATCATTATCATCATCGTCGTCATCCCGTCATCATCGTCATCATCAGAATCATAATATTATGTTGGGTCTCTGCTCTCACGTCCTCCTCCTCCCTCTCCGACTCGTCCACCCACCTAGGCTCCGAGTGCGCAGCTTCCTCCCCCTCCTCCTGCTCCTCCTCCTCCTTCCCCGCCTCCTCCTCCTCCTCCTCCTCCTCCTCCTCCTCCTCCTCCTCCTCATCCTTCTCCTCCCCCTCATCCGCCTTCTGGATAATTTCAGGGTTTACCCTAGCCAACCCAAGCTTCCTCAATCCTTCGACTCCTGCTGCTCCGGTTCCTCATTCTCCCCCTCCTCCTCTTCCTCCTCCTCCTCCTCATCATCATCAGCATCATCACCACTACCACCACCACTATCATCATCATCATCATCATCATCATCATCATCATCATCATCATCATCATCATCATCATCATCATCATCATCATGATCATCATCATCATCATCATCATCATCATCATCATCATCCTCGTCGTCATCATCATCATCATCAGCATCATCATCTTCATCAGCAGCATCATCATCATCACCATCAGCATCATCGTCGTCATCATCACCGTAATAATGATAAGAATCAAAATACTAATTATTCACTGCGTGGGGATCCCCATATGTGCATCTCCTTGCTGGCGCTCCCTTGGTGGTGGGACTCGGTGAGGACGAATCTGGATTTAAGTGTGACTGAGCTGCCTCTCTCTCTGCTCTCTCTGCTCTCTCTGTCTCTCTCTCTCTCTCTGCCCTCTCTCTGTCTCTGCCTCTCTTTCCCTGCCTCTCTCTCTCTCTCTGCCTCTCTCTCTGCCTCTGTCTCTCTGCCTCTCTCTCTCTCTCTGCCTCTCTCTCTGTGCCTCTCTCTCTCTGCCTCTATCTCTGCCTCTCTCTCTCTCTCTCTCTCTCTCTCTTCTCTCTATTCTCTCTCTGCTCTCTCCTCTCTCTCTCACTCTCCCTCTCTCTCTCTCTCGCTCTCTCTCTTCTCTTCTCTTCTCTTCTCTTCTCTCTCTCTCTCTATCTCTCTCTCTCTCTCTTCTCTCTCTATCTCTCTCTCTCTCTCTCTTCTCTCTCTCTCTCTCTCTCTCTCTCTCTCTCTCTCTCGCTCTCTCGCTCTCTCTTGCTCTCTCTCGCTCTCTGTCGCTCTCTCTCGCTCTCTCTCTCTCTCTCTCTCTCTCTCTCTCTCGCTCTCACTCGCTCTCTCTCTCTCTCTCTCTCTCGCTCTCTCTCTCTCTCTTCTCTCTCTCTCTCTCTCTCTCTCTCTCTCTCTCTCTCTCTGCTCTCTCTCTCTCTCTCTCTCTCTCTCTCTCTCTCTCTCTCTCTCTCTCTCTTCTCTCTCTCTCTCTTTCTCTCGCCTGTCTCCTCTCTCAACTCCCCCTCTCTCTCTCTCTCTCGCTCTCTCTCTCTCTCTCTCTCTCTCTCTCTCTCTCGCTTCCTCTCTCTCTCTCTCTCTCTCTCTCTCTCTCTCTCTTCTCTCTCTCTCTCTCTCTCTCTCTCTCTTCCTCTCTCTCTCTCTCTTCCTCGCTCTCTCTCTCTCTCGCTCGCTCGCTCGCTCTCTCTCTCTCTCTCTCTCTCTCTCTCTCTCTCTCCTCTCTCTCTCGCTCTCTCTCTCTCTCTCTCTCTCTCTCTCTCTCTCTCTCTCTCTCTCTCTCTCTCTCTCTCTCTCTCTCTCTCTCTCTCTCTCTCTCTCTCTCTCTCTCTCTCTCTCTCCTCTCTGCTCTCTTCGCTACTGGCTTCTGACGGAGTCTGGGTTAGGTGAGCCTGAGTGTGGGTGAGTCTGAGTATGGGTACGTCTGTGTGTGCCTGACTCTGAAGAAATGAATCTGAGTGTGAGTGAGCTTGTGTATGAGTGAGTCTGGGTGCGAGTCTGAATCCCAATGGTGCCCCTGGCAGTGTCTGGCGACTAGGAGGCCCGGGTCGACTCCTCTTTGGGAAGCCAAAATGCTGCCCCTGGCAGCGTTTGGTGACTATGAAGCCCCTGGTGGACCCCCCCTGGGGCTCCCAAATGATGCCCCTGGCAGCGTTTTGTGACCATGAGGCTCTCAAGAGATACATGTTGGGGACGCCAAACGGCAATTCTAGCTGAGGCGTCCCACCAAAATCGGCGCGAACGGGCTCGTGAGATCAGCCAGGGTGGCTCCCCCTTGGGGCTCCCAAATGATGCCCCTGGCAGCGTTTTGCGACCATGAGGCTCTCAAGAGATACATGTTGGGGACGCCAAACGGCAATTCTAGCTGAGACGTCCCACCAAAATCGGCGCGAACGGGCTCGTGAGATCAGCCAGGGTGGCTCCCCCTTGGGGCTCCCAAATGATGCCCCTGGCAGCGTTTTGTGACCATGAGGCTCTCAAGAGATACATGTTGGGGAGGCCAAACGGCAATTCTAGCTGAGGCGTCCCACCAAAATCGGCGCGAACGGGCTCGTGAGATCAGCCAGGGTGGCTCCCCCTTGGGGCTCCCAAATGATGCCCCTGGCAGCGTTTTGTGACCATGAGGCTCTCAAGAGATACATGTTGGGGGCGCCAAACGGCAATTCTAGCTGAGACGTCCCACCAAAATCGGCGCGAACGGGCTCGTGAGATCAGCCAGGGTGGCTCCCCCTTGGGGCTCCCAAATGATGCCCCTGGCAGCGTTTTGTGATCCATGAGGCTCTCAAGAGATACATGTTGGGGGGCCAAACGGCAATTCTAGCTGAGACGTCCCACCAAAATCGGCGCGAACGGGCTCGTGAGATCAGCCAGGGTGGCTCCCCCTTGGGGCTCCCAAATGATGCCCCTGGCAGCGTTTTGTGATCATGAGAGAGTGTGGGTGTGAGTGAATGTGACTGTGAGTGAGTCTGAGTGAGAGTGAGTCTCATCTTATCTTATCGAGTCCTATCTTATCTTACCTTTATTCCCCTCTATCTTATCTTATCTTGAAATATATTGTGCTATCTTATCTTATCTTGTAGTATCTTATCTTGTCTTGTCTTACCTGGTGATTATCATTGGGAGGAGGGAGGCGCGAGCGGGAGGAAGGAGTCCGCCTGTGGGAGGCGTCAGAGTAATAACAAGAACCCCAATCCTTAGGATATAGGGAACTAATCATCATCATCCTCATCATCATCGTCATGGTCATGACCATCACCATCAGCATCATCATCAGCGACAGCATCATCATCATCATCATCACCATCATCATCACCACACATCATCATCATCATCATAAGCATCACCATCATCATCATCATCACCATCGTCATTATTGTCAGCATCATCACCACCATCATTATCACCATCATCATATTCATTGTCATTACCATCGTCATCATCACAACCACCAACATCATCATCAGCAGCAGCATCATCATCATCATCTTCAACTTCATCATCATCGTCGTCATCATCACAATCATCACAAACAACATCGTCGTCATCATCATCAGCAGCATCATTCTCATCATCAGCAATATCATCATGATCAGCATCCTCATCACCACCGGCATAAGCATCAGCATCAGCACCAGCACCAGCATCAGCATAATCAGCATTATCAGCAGCATCATCAGCAGCAGCATCAGCATCATCATCAGCATCAGCATTAGCATCAGCACCATCATCAGCAGCATCACCATCATCATCATCATCAGCATCATCGTCAACATCAGTATCATTGTCATCGTCAGCAGCAGCATGTGCATCGTCATAGCCATCCGCATCATCATGATCATCACCACAAAACCATCATCAGCAGCATCACCAGCAATCACAACTTATCAGCATCAACACCATCATCACCTTCATCATCATCATCTTCCTTATCATCATCGTCATCATCATCCTCAGCATCATCTTCTCTATCATGTTCATCATCATCCTCATCAGCAGAATTACCATCATCATCATCTCATCATCCTCATCATCATCTCATCATCACTATCATCCCTCCTCCTTGCCTTCGTCGTCATCGTCATCATCCTACCTCCCTCGGCCTCGGGGACGCCGTCGCCCAGGTGCACAGGGCCCATGCCAGTGTCCATGGCCATGGGCATGGGGCCCATGCCCATGTCGGCGCTTTGGCTTAAGGCAGCGCTGGTATCCAAAGTCTCCGCTATCCTCGCAGCGGAGGCGGGCGGAGGCAACAGGAGGAGGAAGAGGAGGAGGTGAGGAAGGGTGAAAGGGCCAGAGAAGCGAGGAGGGAGAAGGGCGTGGGAGGCGGAGGAGGAGGATGGAAGAGGGGCACGGCGATGAGAGGGACGACGAAACTGGCGACGACGACGACGACAACGACGAATACGACGACGACGACGACGACGACGACGACGACGACGACGACGACGACGACGACGACGACGACGACGACGACGACGGCGGCGGCGGCGGCGGCGGCGGCGGGCTCCTGTTCGGCCGCGGTGCTACGCGCTGGGCGCGGAAGGAGGGCTCCTGGGGCCTACCCGCGCCCGCCGCCAGGCCCATGCCTGGAGGAAGAAAGAGGAAGGGGAGGAGGAGGAGGAGGAGGAGGAGGAGGAGGAGGAGGAGGAGGAGGAGGAGGATAAGGCGGAGGAGGAGGAGAAGGAGGAGGAGGGGGAGAAGGAGGAGGAGGAGCATGAGCAGGATCAGGAGAAGAAGAAAAAGGAGCACAGCGGGCCCTGGAAGAAGCCCTTGTTCTGGTTCTCGACATAGGGATGCGCTGGGCCTGAGGGCAGCCACCAACATCACGGAGATCGCGAGATGGACCCAGACGCCCCCCCCCCACCTCCAAACTGGGAGAGGAGGCAGCATGGGGGGAGAGACGCTCCTCCTCCTCATCATCATCCTCATCCTCAGCCTCAGCCTCATCCTGTTCCTCCGTCCCCCTCCTCCACCTCCTCCTCCTCCTTCCGTTTCTTCCTCCTCCTCCTTCTCTTCCTCCTCCTCCTCCTCCCCCGCTCCCTCTCCTCCTCCTCCTCCTCCTCCTCCTCCTCCTCCTCATCATCATCATCATGATCATTCTCAGCAGTAGCCACAGCATCAACACCACCACCACCGCCATCATCATCAACATCATCATCATCATCATCATCAGCATCATCATCATCATCATCATCATCATCATCATCATCATCATCATCTGCATCATAATCAGCGTCATCAGCACCACCATCAGCTTCGTCATCGTCATCATCAGCATCATCCTCATCATCAGCATCACCATCAGCCTCATCGTCATCATCATAAGAATCAGCATCATCACCATCATCATCGTCATACTCATCGTGATCACCGTCATTACCATCATCAGCATCATAACCAGCATCTGCATCATCATCACCAGCAACAACATCATCAGCAGCATCATCAGCAGCAGCGTCAGCATCAGCATCCTCATCATCCCCAACAGCAGCATCATCATGAACAACAGTAGCATAGTCATCACAATCATCATCATCATCATCATCATCATCATCATCATCATCATCATCATCATCATCATCATCATCATCATGAGCAGCATCAGCATCGTCATCAGCAGCAGTATCATCACAACAACCGTCATCACGAGAAGCCTCACATCTACCATCATCGACACCAGCAGAAGAGGCAGCATCGGCATAGTCATTGTTAGCATCATCATCATCATCATCATCAGCAGCAGCGTCATGTTCATTTTCTTCATCCGCATCATCAGCAGCAGCAGGAGCATCATGAGCACCGTCATGAGCAGCAGTAGCACGACGGCCACCATCATTATCATGAGCAGCTGCACATTCGCCACCATCATCATCATCATCATCATCATCATCATCATCATCATCATAATCATCACCAGTATCATCATCAGCATAATCAGCATCATCATGAGCAGCATCATCCTCCTCCTTCTCCTCCCCACGATCGTCATCACCATCATCATCATCATCAGCAACAGCATAATCATCACCATCATAAACATCGTCATCACCATCATCACCATAATCGTCATCAACATAAGCCTCGCCGATATCGCCCTCATCATCACCATCATCATCGCCGTCATCGTCATCAGCATCGTCTTCACCATGACCACCACCAGATGCATCACCAACAACATGTTCTGGATTATCAGCAGCATCAGCATCGCCATTCTCATCATCATCAACATCATCATGAGCATCATCATTGTCATCATCCTAAGCATCATCGGCAGCAGCGGCATCATCTGCATAATCAACATTATCATCATCGCCATCATCATTATCAGCATCATCAGCATCACCAGCATCATCATCGTTTTCGGCATAGTCGTCATCGTTGCCATCGGGTTCACAATCAACAACGTCATTATCACCATCACCATAATCACCTGCTTCTCTATCGTCCTCAACACCATCCGCATCAACATCATTATCAACAGCAGCAGCATCATCATCGGCATCAGCATCACGATCATCATCGTTATCGTCATCGGCATCGTCATCGTCACCTTCATCGTCATGGTCACCATCATCCCCACCATCACAATCCCCATTCCCGTCATCCCCCTACCCTCCTGCCCCTCCTGCTCCCCTCCTCCTTCTCCTCCTCCTTCTCCTCCTCCTCCTCCGACCTCGAGGGGAAGAGGTGGGGTGCAACGGGCGAAATCCGACCCCCGCCGCCCCCGCCGCTTCGGCCGCCCTTCCGGGCCAGTGTACTCCATGGGGTAGGCCCGCGTCTCGTCCTCGACCTCGTCCTCGTCACGGGGCGGGTCTGGGCTCGTCGGCGTCGGCGGGCGGCTCGGCTCCTCCGGCTCCTCCACGGGGCTGGCGGGCGGGATGCTGCGGGGGTCGCGGGGCTCCTCTGGGGAGAGCGGCGGCGAAAGGCGCTCTCACGGCGACGTCGATCGACCACCCAGGCACCGATCCCACCCGGGCCCCGGCCAGGCCTGGCCCAGGTCGGTGTCCAGGCGTTTTTCCGCCCAGTTTCCCAGTTTCGGGCCCCAGGACCCTTACAGGTCGATCCGTCTCGAAAAATGCCGCAGGCAGATGTGGTCCGGGGCTCCGGCGGTGATTTTTGCACGATGTTTCAATCTTGTCTTGCAACGTCGGATCTCAGGGCAGGCCCAGTCATGCGAGACATGCCCTGCCTGTTTCGTGGCGGGGCCCCCGGAAGAAGTCCAGGCCCTTGCCCCGCACAGAGGTCCGGGGCCCCGAAGAAAGTTGGGGGCGGGGGGGCCCCCGCCCAGGGATGCTCGCGTCGTGAAGAAACCACGGCGGGAGGTTTTTGGCCTTCCTCGGCCTCAGAACCGCCCGAAAACGACCTTGGATGCAGAGCGGGACCTGGTGGGGGAGGGGCCAGGGCTGCCAGGGCTCCCGCACGGAAAAAGAAACCAGAACGCCGCACGTCTGGGCGGAAGCCCCGCCCAGACCTCCTCGCGCGGTGGAGACATCACGACGGGCAATGTTTCACGATTTTCGGCCTCCAGGGGCCCTCGCCAGGCCTCGGGGCCGTCAAAAACGACTCGGGACAAAAAACCCGTCCCCAGGAAGGGAACCAAACTTCTGAGGGTCATGTCCTGCAAAAAAATCACGACGTCGGGGTTCTGGGCGACCCGCTCCCCAGGGCTGGTCTTGTTTGCCCGCGCCGCTGTTGAGGCCCCCAGGGCCCAAAGGCCCCTCCCAGACCTGCGACGCCCTGTGTATATATGTACATATACATGTGTATATCTATGTGTATATATATATATATATATATATGTATATATATATATATACATACACATACATATTGTGATAATAATGATAATAAGAGGAGGAATAAGAAGAAGAGTAATACGAATGAAACTAATAGAAATCAAATTCATAATAATAATAATAATGATAATAACAATAATAATAATAAACGCCCCTCTGGAAGCCTCGCCCCCCTCCCGCAGGACTAGCTCCTCGTCTCCGACGTCGCGCTTTCGCTTTCTGACGCCCCCGCGACGCCCAGCGATGGCCCCCTGGGGCCGACAATAGCAACAAACCTCTGGCCCCGATTCTTTTGCTCGGCGGCGAGCGAGGGGGGAAAATGGGGAAATGAGAAGGAGAAGGCCTCCTCAGAAGGCGGCGGGGAGGCCTTCCCCTTCTCGCTTCCCCCCCTCGCTCGCCGCCGACCTTTTGCGACGCGATCACGCCTGGGCCGAAAGCCGCAAAAAGCCGCAGAGGTCTTCCGCGGGGGCAGCTTCTCTCGCCGCGCTCGCGCGGTCCAGCAGGCTGCCGCTCGAGGGGCCGGCGCCCTCCACCCCAGGGGCGCCGCGGCCCGTCGAGGCCACGGCGCCGAAGAGGCATGGCCGCAGGCCTCGCCGCTTCTGGGGCGGGAGCGGGCCGCCCCCAGACCCCCTCGCGCTGTGGAAAAAAACACGACGGGACCGCACATGGACATTACATTCGAGCCCTGTGGTCCAAGATGCCCCCCAGACCCCCCGAAATTAATATTGACGGCGTGGCGACGGGGGGGGCGTGAGTGGACAGAAATGTTCGAACCCCAAAGCACCGCCTTTACTGAGATCAACATTGGGAGAGATTTGGGATCTCCCTCGAATGTGTGAAGGTTCGAATATATTGTCCATCTACTGGAGGTGTTTCGCTATCTTCGGGCTCCGGGGGCCCTTCGCCGGGCTTCGGGACCGGCAACAAACGACCCGGGTCGAAAAACCGGTCCCATGGGAAGGGGTTATGACTTCTAGGGGCCACGTCATTTGTGTATATGAAGTACATTGCAGAAAAATACCTACAACAACAGCAACAGCAACAGCAACAGCAACAGCAACAGCAACAACAACAGCAACAGCAACAACAACAACAACAACAACAACAACAATCATTTAAGACTGGGGACACTCCGTTCTCACCAGTGCCAGGGTTTTCATAGGAGGCGGGCAATACCCCCACTTTGTGGGGGGGCCGGTTCAAGCTCTACCAAGTTTCCAAACGACTCTTCGCCACCACCCACACCCAGCTTCCCGCCCTATGACGTTCGGACACTTCACTTCGTGACCTGCGGACGACCTTGGCTACTACACTGGCGCATGGGTACAGTGACTTGTTGTGGTAACATTTTGTGGAAGCTAGCTTAGTATACGACTTTCCCCCCGGTTCCAACACTGGACACCTGTACCGTTTTCCGACGTTTTCCCGTTTCTGTACCACACAAGCGAAGACACTTATTTTGAGTGGCACCACGTGCGTGGCGCCAGCATACCACAGGACTTGTTTCCGTTGTTGTGAGACGATACATGCTCATTCTTGTTCTGCGGTTGTCGTTCCGGCCTCAATGTGCAATACTGGCTCATTCGTCTACGAAATACACGTGACTAGCTCTCTCCGGTTGGAGGTCCTGATGGTTGTGGCTGTCCCGATGGTTGTCGCGATGATTGTCCCGATGATTGTCCCGATTGTTGTTCCGACGGTTCTCCCGATGGTTGTCCCGATGGTTGTCCCGATCGTTGCCCCGATGGTTGTCCCGATGGTTGCCCCGATGGTTGTCCTGATGGTTGTGGTCGTCCCGATCGTTGTCCCGATGGTTGTCCCCACGGTTGTCCCGATGGTTGTTCCGATGGTGGTCCCGATGGTTGTCCCGATGGTTGTCAGCGATGCCGGACCCCCACGCCCCCCGCCGGAGGAGGAGGAGGAGGAGGAGGAGGAGCAGGACAAGGCGCGGCGGCTCTGGACACATACGTGCTCTGGAGACATACTAAAGAGACGAGTCTTCGTGCTCATCATCTTCTGGCATACGCCTGTCTCTAATGGCACGCATCGGGCGCAATACTGCAAGCTGCGCTCCTGGCAGCAATACATCAGGGGCCAAGTGTCCAAGCATTGTGCCGATACGCCTCCTCGCGGATACATCGCCCGTGCGTGCGTGGGGCGCCAATACCGCCAGGACGCCCTGGACATGCGCCGGCATACCCAGATCCACCTGGTAATCCATGACATTCCCATACTCGGACTGCCCGAAAGAACGCCATACTGGCATGTGCCACCAATGGTCCTGCTTCGGGAAATAGGTGATACCATCCTTGACGTCGTCGGAGGCATTCCACAGAGCCATAGATGGCGGCTCCATACCCATGGATCCCGTGTGTGTTGCCACAAATACATCCAGGCTCGCCATGCGCCTGTATCTGATACCACCTCGGAATGCACGTGAATACGCAGGAGCTGCAACAGCCTGCGCAAGCCAGCATACACCCAGCCGCCGTGCCCGACGAAGACGTGCGATCTCCAGTTCGCTATACCGGCTTGGGTGCACAGCCGATGGAATACTTCCGAAAGTGTGCCCAGATACTTCGCGGCTGAATCTGCGAAACCAGAAAAGTTGCCGAATACCAAGCCAGGGTAGAAGTATACCGCGAACGCCATCCACTCTGGGGTCTGGATGCCTCCCATACGGCGCTGGTTCTCGACCACGCCGTTCTCCTTGGACTGGCGCGCACTCTCCGGCGTCGAGAGGCAGAGGCATACACCCGTGAGTCCCTGCCACATACACGGAAAGTACACAGCAGTCGCGAACCACGTGGTCTCGCGCAGCACCTTTCAGGAGAGACAAAAGTACCGCTACCACCAGCTAGGGGGGTGGCCGCGCCTTCCCCTCGAGCTGGTGGCACCTCGTTCCGGGCACTCTCTGGAGGCATACCCGGAAGGAGGTGCCACCAGCTCGAAGATGGAGCGGCCACCCCCCTAGCTGGTGGTAGTGGTACTTTTGTCTCTCCTGAACCTTGAGCCAGTGGAATACCAACCCGTCCCCGCCGGGTGGCATAGCCCAGCGCCTCATACCCTCGGCCACCTCCTCGTTGGATGGGGTATACTCCCCAGTCTGTTCGTCCCACTGCCCTGCCATTGCCAACAATACGGACGCGCGTGTGCATCTGGAAAGAGATACGGAAAGCGAAATACGACTGGAGCACAAATGGCTAAGGCAAACGAATGATGCTGTGGGAAAGTGCCAAAGTCCATACGAACAGAAACGAAGCACATACATGTGTCACACTGATAAGACAACTCACACTCACAAGCAGGTTAGTCAACACATTGACACATGATACATTTGATACATTTTGCACGTGATACATATGATAAACATGAGACAAGGACACACAACAGTTGGTCACATTTTTGGGGCATATTTCAGACACATGCATTTGTTATATATGATACATAGTGCACATGATACATATGATAGACATGAGTCAAAGATACACAACAGTTGGTCACATGTTTGGGGCAAATTTCAGACACATTCATGTGTTATATATGATACATATTGCACATGACACATATGATAGACATGAGACAAAGACACACAACAGTTGGTCACATTTTTGGGGCACATTTCAGACTCATACATCTGTTATAGATGATATTGCACATGATACATATGCTAGACATGAGACAAAGACACACAACAGTTGGTCACATGTTTGGGGCAAATTTCGGACACATGCCTTTGTTATATATGATACATATTGCACATGATACATATGATAGACATGAGTCAAAGATACACAACAGTTGGTCACATGTTTGGGGCAAATTCCGGACTCATGCATTTGTTATGTATGATACATATTGCACATGATACATATGATAGACATGAGACAAAGACACACAACAGTTGATCACATTTTTGGGGCAAATTTCGGACACATGCACTTGTTATATATGATACACATTGCACATGATACATATGATAGACATGAGACAAAGACACACAACAGTTGGTCACATTGTTGGGGCAAATTTCAGACACATGCATTTGTCATACATGATACATATTGCACATGGTACATATGATAGACATGAGACAAAGACACAC